CATCAGGATGCACCCCAATGCTTGGGAATGCCCCAAGCTGCCTGGACCCCACAGGGGACTCACCAGGATGTTGGTGACCAGCCAGTGCCTCCAGTACCGGTGCCGGGGGTTGGCTCTGTTGGGAGCGTCGGGATCCACCATCACCAGCACGTACTTCTTGTTCTGCAAGAGAGGAGAGCAGAGCACTGTGGGCACGGTGTGTGGAGGAAGGAAGAGACTCCCCCCCAAGGGGCTCTATCAGCCCCCAAATCCATGGTTTTCCACGCTTTCCCAAGCAGGCTTTGATGGCTGATCCAGGTGAGCGAGGAACGTGCACCAGGGCAGGCCACAATCCTGCCTTGGGAGGATTTACTTCCCGTGGTCTAAATCTCTTTAAATGCAGGAAAAAAAAAATGTGTTTTCTGCCTCCTCTAAATAAAAGGTACCAAGGGGGAATTCCCTCTGCTTCCAGTCATGCTCTAACCACATCCCACGGCAGTGCAGGGCAGAGCAGTGTGCCACAGCCACAATCCCTGGGAGAAGGTGATGGGATAGTTTTGGGTGACCAGGGACACCCAAATGTCCATGAGGGTGGCTGTGAGGAGCCAAAACTCTACCTCACACCTCCCCAAATAACTAAAATGTGTTCCAGAGGTGCTGCAAGAAGGCAAAGCTGCTGCCTCACCACACACCCAATGGGTCCAGTACCACTTCTGGGTGATGGAAGTGGGCAGAGAGAGCTGGGGTTTATGGATGATACTGGTTCAGCCCCCAGGAAACCCCCACAGCCCACCCCAGGTCCCCACTGCAGGTGCCCAGCACCCAAAGGTGCCACCAGCACTGAGACAACGTGGATATTTTGGTCTGCTGAGGATGGAGCTGGGTTTGAAGTGACCTCTGGAGGGAGGCTGTGGATAGAAAACCTGCTGATCTCCAGGGATTTGGCAGGACCTCAGGCACCAGATTATCCTGCAAGCACCCAGATTAAGGGATCTATATCCTTAATAAAACCTCCAGGTGCGTCTGTCAGCTCACCAGTGGCACCACTCACCGCTCCAGGGCGGAGCTTTCATAAACAGCTGTGGGATTTAGCCCTGCAATTCCCACTGAAATTAGCCGGAGCTCTGTGGCTACATCCCCTGGTCGCTTGTGAAACCAGGCTGGGATTCTCACAGCGAGGTTCTTGGGGCTGGCACAATAGTTTCTGGCTCTATTTCCCAACCTTTGGTTGGGGTAAATGGGGCAAGTGAGCCCCGGGGTGCTGCCAGAGCCAGAGACCTCCTGCACCCCCTCCCCTGGGCATCCCACCAGAGCCACGCACCCCTCAGCCCCCCTTGCAGACTCCACCTCCATGAGAAGCACCAGTTTAACCAGAAAACGTGGATTTCAACCCATTTAGCAACCAGCTTGTGACAGTTGCAGAGAAAATCCCAAACTCCTGCAACCGCTGCTGCCCCTGCCCATTAATCTCAGCCTGGCATCGTCCCTGGAAGGGGTTACACCAACCACACAGATTTGGGACAGGGGGTGAGGCCCTGAAAGGTCAGGACCTCGGGGCAGAGCCGCCACCTCCCTGCTCACAACTCCCACAGCTGCAGCATCCCAGAAAACAAACCCCGGTGTCACATTCCCTGTGGTGCCGAAATCGGGAAGGAGGAGAAGGGAGGGGAGGGGTTGGGGTGGGGGGGAAGGAGGAGGGAGAAAGAAGCAGCCCGACAACCCAAAAACCCTGCGCTGGAAGTGTGAAGGAATTTGAGCTCTAACTTTGGGGAGGGTGGGGAGCCGAGCACGGCGTTTCTGAATCTCTCTCGGCTCCGCTCGGAGCCCAGCTGGTGGGAACAGAACGTGTAGTCATGGGACTGTCATCGTGTGCTGTCCAGGTTAACATGTAGCATTTCTATTACTATTAACAGACTTTCTGCTCCTCACTCCATCTGTTCTTCGAAATAATTGCAGTTGTACAGACCATGCCTTCGCTCCAGGCAGGCTCTGGGGAGAGGATAGTGCTTTTATGCAAAAAAAAAAAAAAAAAAAAAAAAAAAAAAAAAAAAAAAAAAAAAAAAAAAAAAAAAAAAAAAAAAAAAAAAAAAAAAAAAGGGGGGGGGATTGGAAAGGAAAAAAAAAAAAGTGTTAAAAAATAACAGCAAACACGAGAATAGAGTGCAAGTGAAGCTAACAGCAGGCTCGGAATTGGGGACAGATTGTGGCCTAGAAAGGTGACAGCGCACGCGGCCGGGGGCCGGCGAGGCCAGACCCCCGTGGGGACGGTCCCCGGGGTCAGTGGCCCCGAGCTGGGCTGGCACCGGGGATTTTTCCCTCTCCTTACCTGCTGGCCACCCATAAGAGGCACAATCCCTCACCTTCCACCTAAAGATAGCAAAGCCCTCCACGACCCGAGTTAATCCCGGCCGCTTAGGTGTGTCACAGCCCTCGCCAGCACCGGGAGCTGCTCTGGGGGCTGCACCAAAACCACCCCAAAACCCCCTCCCCGACGCCCTCAAAGCACTGCTGTGCACCCCAAACACGGGCTAGGTGTGTTTTTCGCTGCTTGGAAGCAACAGCAGCCCGAGTGCTGGTGATTTTCGGGGGTTTTTTGATGCTGAAATCCCTCCTCGACACAGGCTAACAGCATTAGCTGCTGTCAGGGCTGCAGATGGGAGCCAGCCCGGAGTGACACGGGAGCTGCTCAGCTTTACAAGCATGAACCAGCCCCGGGGATTTTTGGAGAGCAGGAAAAGTGGCTTTAGATCAGAAAATTCCTCCAGTGCAGAAGAACGGGCGGCGTTTTACTGTGCAGAGGGAAGGGAGGAAGGGGGAGAGGGAAGATAAAGCCACTTTGGGCTGCCACAGATGAAAATTCGGGGTAACAAAGCACCCCAAAAACCTTGTCACCCTTTCCTGCTCAACCCAGGGCAGGGAGGAGCTGCAGGTGTGCTGGACCCAGTATCATGGTTTGGGTTGGAAGGGACCTTAAAGCTCATCCCATTCCACAACCTCACAGAGGGGAAATTCCTTCCCAGCATCCCATCTATCCCTCTGGCAGTTTGAATCCATTCCCCCTTGTCCTGTTTCTCCAGGCCCTTCTCACAAGTCCCTCTCCAGCTCTCTTGGAGCCCCTCCAGGCCCTGGAAGGAGCTCAGAGGTCTCTCTGCATCCTTCTCTTCTCCAGACTGATGTGTGGCACCAGCGGGGTCACCCTTCCCTGCTCCCTGGGCCACTTCTCACCCTGGGGCACATTAAAATTCTCATTTAACCACTGCAGGGATCTGCTGCCTTCCCGAGGTCTTGGAGCCATGACTTCCCCCACAAAACTTTGCCCTCCACATCCCTGGGAATGGGCATCCAGCCCTGCTCCAACACCCGACACGGAGCCAGGGCAGCAGAGCGGGTGGCAGGTGACACCAGCGCTGCACTCCACATTTTTCCCTGCTGATTGTTTCTGGAGGGGAAGAGGCAGCAAAACACCCAGCTCCTCCTGCATTAACCACTCCAATTAGGCACAGGTTTGGGAAACTTGCTGGGAGACTTTTCCAAGAGGCAGGCAGGCAGGAGAGGGATTTGAGCGCCGGGGATGCACACACGGAGCTCAGCACAGGAATTAAAGACTTATCCAAATGAAAGCAAATAGGGTGTTAAAGCGACACACATGTAGAGCGAGCGGTTTCCTTGGAAACCAGCGCACATGGAAGCACCACACGTGCAGCTCTCCGGCGTTTTCGGAGCCGTGGGGGCTCTGCCCTGTTGGGGGTGCCCCTGCTGGGGCTGGGCAAAAGGCTGGAAGAGCCCAGCAGTGCCCACTTGTGTGTCTCTATCCCCTTGGCATCTGTTTCTGCGAGGGAAAAATGGCTCCAAAGGCGCTTTCTCCCGGGTGTGAAGGGGAGATGGAAGGGGCTCAGCTTGGCTGGCCACGCTTGCCTTAGGAATTCCACCCCAAAAATAAGGGGCAGAGCCCCAGCCAGGCCCCCAGCACAGCACCTGCTTCCCAATAGGTGGGTTTGGATGGTTTTGAAAAGTCCACCTGGATCCTCCTCCACCCGACCCCTCGCCACACAAGGGGTGAGGTGGTGAGATTTCCAGCTGTCCCATTGCCACCCACATATCCTTTCCAGCTCCTAAGGAATGTCCCCAGGTAGGGAGCTGCTGTGGAAGTAAACCATGGCACCAACAGGTATGTGAGCTGAAGGGCCTTCCACCTCCCCAAGAACTACAGCCTGGCACGGCAACATCCCATATTATCCTGCTTTAAAGGATTTTGGGGTGACAGATGGCAGGAGATGCTCCAGAGCAGTCCCTTAGGTGTAGGGATGGGATGGGGAGATGCATCCCAAGCACGCAGCTCCCACACTGGAGCCAGGGAAGAGCTGGGTTTACGCAATTACAAACCAAAAAAACTAAATATACCCAAAACCCCTTCCCAGAGCAGGGCACGAGCTCCTGGATGGGCAGGGAAGGCGGGAAAGGTACTCAGAACCTTGGCAAACATTACTCCAGCTCTCCCAAGGGATGCCTCGAGGGTCCAACCCATGTCCCACCAGAGCAGGAGCCGGAGCGATGCCGCTGCTCCCTCGAGGTGGAAGCGCCGCAAGCACCAGCTGAGAGTCAATCTGGGCTTTTTTCTTGGCTTGTCCCCAGTACTAAAAAGTTTCTATAACAGGCACTGAGTTCTCAATTCTGCTGCTGCTGCTGCTGCTGCTTCGCCAAAGAAGAAATTCCAGCTCCTTCCTCGGCAGCGAAAAAATTGTTTGCAACCGAGTTGTTGTGGCTTCGGGAAGGAGCTGCTGAGCGTGGCAAGGATTTCACCTTCTTATTTTAAACCTGCCCCTCACCACTTCCACGGGCAGAAATAGGTCAGCAAAATGAACCCTCGCTCCCCAGGACTCGCCCAAGGGAACTTCATTGACTTTCCAACATGCTGCAACTCTCCCCGTCCCTTCGCTCTCCCTCGGGACTCGCTCACCGGCCAAATATTTATGCAGCCTAATGTGCTAATGAGAATTGATTCATCTGGGGTTGTTAAGGAGCGTGTTAAAGGTCTGTTCCCAGATTAAGGCCTTAGGATGCTCTAAGGGATGGATTATTTGCAAGGAACGAACAGTTTGTTTTTCCCCCGTGGCAGATTAAACCAGCCCCGTGCAATAAGACTGCAAGATACGTGTTACACACTCGACACAACCGGGCAGGAA